GCCCCCGGCCCCCGGCCCCCGGCTCCCGGCCCCCGGCCCCCAGCCCCTCACCTCACGGTGGACTGGTACACCAGGTCCTCCCTCTTGCGGTAGTTCTCCATGTACGAGTAGTTGGTGGAGAACATGGCGTCAAAGGTGAAGATCTTTTGCTTGATGGTGCCGCCGTCCGTCACCTACAAGACAGCACAGAGGCAGCTACAGGGGAGCGCTCGGCCGGCCTCACCCCTTTCCCCCAGACAGAGCGCGGACGGACGCAGGGACACTGGAGATGCAGGGCCAGGACGCCCGGCCCCCGGGGCCCCTGGGCGAGGCCGCCAGGAGACGCGTCACTGCCATAACCAGAACGCTCCCAGGTCATCCCCACTCTGCTGATGTGTAAGCCGAGGCTCTGGAGCAAAGGGACTTCCCAAGGTCCCACGCCGGGAAGGAGCACAGCTGGCTCTCCTCTCTGACAAGAATTTCTGGTAAATTCTGTAAGGGGTAGGCACAGAATGGCAGGGGAGCCCAGGCAGCCCCCGTGTGGGGATAGGGTAGTCACAGAGGGCTTCCTAGAGGAAGGGATGTCTAAGTTGCCTTCTGAAGGGAGAACAGGAGACAGGCAGCCTGGCAAAAGGTGGGAGAGCTCTGTAAGCAGAGGAGACAGCAGGAGCAAAGGCCCCGTGGTAGGAAGGAGCAGGTATGCTCAGGGAAAGAGGATTGTGCTCAGCGTGCCCGGTAGGCAAGGGAACTCAACTGTCCCTGCAGGCGACGTGGAGGGGGTCACCTTGGATTCCATTTACAGGTTCCTTCAGGCCGTGGGGTGACGATGGTTGGAGGGGCCTGTCTGGGGGCAGAGGGCTCTTAAGAAGGCTGGGGAGAACCCACTCTGCTGTCACGGGGCGGAAGGAAGAGGACAGCTTGGGGGCTCCCTCTCCTCCAGCTGCCCTGGGGACAGGAGGGAGGTCACGAGGCCCCCACCTCCCCAAGCGCACGGAGGCCCAGAGAAGTCAGGGGACCTCCGGAGGAGACAAGAAAGCCTATAATGGTAAACAAAGGCTGTTCCGGTGCCCAGCTGCTCGCGGCTGATTGAAAGCCGGACCCAAGCGTCCCGCGCTCCAGCTCGCCGCCCGCCGCATCCTCTCGCCTGCGCGCTGCCTCCAGCTAATGAAAGTGTTACTCCACAAAGCAGCAAGGTATGTGTTGTCACTGTTTCAATTATTTATCTGTTTACTCGGCTGCAGTTTCCCCTACAGTTTTCCGCCTGCGTCAGCAACTCTATTATAGACCGGGAGCTTGCAGCCTCTCGCTGCTCAGCTGGGCTCC